AGTTTTAGAATGGTTTAATTGTAAAAACTTGGTGGCAGCTCAGAATTTGAATTTCAAGTTCTTCTGTAAAGTCCTGCAGAAACTGGCAAGGCAAACGTCACAATTTTGAAAATAGTGAAGTAAGGGAAATAAGGAAGTCTGAACGTTAAACAATCCAAACATCCCTTTATTAAATCTGACATTTGGCAAAGAAACCAGCCTTTTACCTCAAACTATCAGGGTTGCATTAAGCTTTTTAAGTCACACTCAGTGTTCTGGAAAACATCCACCCTCTCACCCTCTGCCCTGTCTCCACCTGGGCCCCGTGGGCAGCCACTCTGCTTCCCCAGCGCTGCCCAGGCCCACCACCCCCGCCACCTTCTCCCCAGCTCCACCAGCCCAGCTCACTCAACAAGGGTCAGGCCTCCCACCCAGGGCAGACAATCCACAGGCTAGCCAATATCCTCTAACCCAGGGCCAGGGCAGCGGTGAGGTGGGAATGAACGAGATCAAGCTTCTCTCAAGGAAATGTGACAGGAATTGGTCACCAAGAAACTGAAAGAATGCAACAAGAAACGCCACAGAGTTGAACCGGGGCCAGACGGTTTTCGGACAGCTACGCAAGTCCTCGGGCTGAAGTCACAGGGAAGGGAATCAGGAGTGAGTAAAGTAGCCAGCTGGTGTGGGGGAGAAGGCTCCAGCACATCGAGCCAGGCACTGACCCACCCGGCAAAATCCTAGAGAAAGCTGTGGCTGAGGCCCCCAGAGCAGCCAGAACCTCACTTCGCCACCAGGCGCTGGAGTTCAGCCCACCCCAGCTCAAATTCCCAGATTCCTGTGCAATTCCTATCACACTGTACATGTTCCCACTCACAAAACTCCTTCCCAAGCTGGCTGGAGCAGGTCTTTGCCCCACACAACCAAAAGCCAAAATAGCACAGATAACATACAAATGGCAAACATGGTAAGTCAACAACACAAAATACGGACAGCCCTAGTTACACATATTTCTTTTTTTCTTTTTTTTTAAACAACCATAACAAGGAATGAACCTAATTACACATATTTAAGAGAAATACAGAACTTCTTACCCACACACAAACCAAAACCTCACACCTGACAGAGAAGGCGCACCAGATGACCTTTGGGGGATGGATGCAAATGTCCTGTGTTTTGAGAAAGGTATGGGGGATTCTTTCATTAAAACTGATCAAACTGAACACCTGACATGTGACCATTTCACTGTATGTAAATTATATTTCCATTATAAAAATGGGATCAGGTGCAGTGGCTCACATCTGTAATCCCAGCACTTTGGGAGGCCAAGGCAGGCGGATCACCTGAGGACAGAAGTTCAAGACCATCCTAGCCAACATGATGAAACCCCATCTCTACTTAAAAACAAAAAACAAAAATTTTTTGGAGCCAGGTACGGAGGCAGGAGCCTGTGATCCCGGCTACTTGGGAGGCTGAGGTAGGAGAATCGCCTGAACCCGGGAGGTGAAATTGCAGTGAGCAGAGATCACGCCACTGCACTCCAGTCTGGGTGTCAGAGTGAGACTCCATCTCAAAAAAAATAAATTAATTAATTAAAAAAAAAAAAACCTTGCATGTAAATTGTTCCCTTAAGAGGACTTTTTGTTTTTCAAAACTATTGATCGAGATAAATCCCACAAACATACGCTGAGCAGAAGCAGCCAGCTGCTAAAACACCTGCATTTCCATTTAAGGAAAGAACAGAAACAGGTTAACAGTTCCCGTGTGTTCTGAGTCAAACAGTGGCTCACTTGAAGGAGGGTGGACCTCTTCCTGGGCTGCCTATGTTCTGGCTCCTGACTGTGATGCCAGTATTCCAGGTGTGTCGAGTCTGATAAACTGTTTTCCGCAGGTGTACGCTCATGAAAGACACATTCTCCTGTCTGTATTCTATTTTCTGGTATGTCTATCTTAATAATAACACAAATGAGAAGGAATACCCTATCGTCATTTAAAAATGACTGGAAAAGGTTTGCTTTGCATCTAGTAAAACGCTTATTTTCAGCCAAATTCTTCAGGTAAATAACAAAATTAAGACTTTACCCCATGTGTGAAATTCTAACTGAACTGACGGATTTGATACTGGGGGAAAAACTCATTCAACGGAGTCATTTGAATCATGTAAGTAAAACTCCAACCCAGGTGCTCAGTTCCAACAGTACCTAAAGTGAAGTCACCCACAAGCAGAGCGTTCCTTCCACATAAGCAGCAGAGACCACACTCCACGTCCCTTTGCTACTCTAACAAAGGAAAAACAGAGCATAATCCCGTGGAAGAAATGCTTAGTCAGAATCCCACCCCCATGTGTTCAAAGGGAGGATTAACTCCAATTCACACATTACCCTGAGGTGTATTTTTCTTAATGCGCAGATTTTTATTTTCGGAGGCTTATGTTTTAAAAACATTTTACAGACTCTAGATATAGCTCACAAGCATAAAAACAGAATAAGTAAAAGTGACGCCATGGAGACAAACCATAAATGTTAAATTTATAGAACATCAAATTCTAACACTGTTCTTTAAAAATAAGAAGCCAAAGAATAAACTGAAATGTCAAGTACTTACAGCCATAATTAATTCAAAGGGGTATTTGTACACCCTCACTGGTGACTGGTATTTCTGCACCATGATTGTAATATAATAGCAATCCTCTCACACCTGCAAAACATAAATATATGTGATAAATAACCACAATACGGAAACAAATTATTAATAAGTCTGCACCAACACATCATACCAGATTCTAACAACAGAGACCACAATAAATCATAATTCTATGCACACAAAAATGAAAAGATGATATTTAAATACACAAGGGTAGAGGGACGTAATCAGACAATAAAAACTGGACAAAGCCCCAATGCAATGAGAGAAACAGTACTGGTGTGAGACGGACTCCAGTCCCCTCATGGGGATTGCTGGGCCTCTGCATTCATTACATGACCTGACCTGAGTCCTTTCCGGCAATGAACTGTTACGACTCTGTTATTCCAATAACCAATATAATTAGTGCTCGGATCATTGTCTCTTGAACTTCTATTAGAAGCCAAATAAAAATGAACTCATGTTAAGATATTAGCTCTGGGGAAACAAAAGTGGAAAACAATACTATTGTATTTCAAATTATGGAATACTCCTCAAAAGCTGGCTTCAAAGGAAACGTGTCAATTCCTATTTCCTAACTGTGTACACTACAGCTCTGGAGACCTGTCTTCAAGTGGCAGAGGTGCCAAGTATTCTGGCTTAAGAGGCTCCACTGAAATCTCCAGCCTCAAACAGCTGCTATCGGTAAGTCATCGGTTAAATGCTCACACCCAATTCACACTCAAGGAGCCCCCTCTTAGGGGTGCATAAATAAACATTCTCTAGTGCCAGCCTACAAAGATTGCTCTGAAAATATACTTGGACTTGCCAGTCCTCTGGGACTGTCCTCCCCTTTTGAAAAGTGAGAAAAAAAAAATCAAATGAGCCTACCTGTCTTGCTGAGGATAATCATCAAGAATGATATTTTATGCTGAACATGGTGAGAGGATATTCAAGCTTACAAACTGAATATCCTCAAGGCGCCCAAAGTCTAGCTGTTTA